GAAGCAGAGGATCTCCACGCTACTCTCCCCGTCACAGCAGATCACGTTCTCGTACATAAATGATCTTTAATAGTGCTCCTTTTTGTAGAAATTCTCCATGTTGTATGCAGTTTTCTTTTGCCCATATATAGTCCATTCTTTTAGGGAAAAAAAAGATCAGAATTGAAACTGTTTTACTGAAAATTGGCTAAAGTGTTGAATTGCAGTTTTGTATGATACCCCTAGTGAGTATTTGTTCTTTAACATCAACATTCCCCTGCATCTTTCATAAATTGTATTTTAACATGTCCTAGTCAGGGTTCTTTCTAGCTAGTTTGCTGCCCACTCTCTCTTCCAACTGTGATATTGCTGTATAAAATGTCTTTGTTCAGCTATGGTTTATACAAGCTTGGGATGTTGGGGTTTAAATTGTCTCTTTTGGGGGAGCTTACATTTTTATCTTGCCTTTTCATGTGTCTTTCTGTAGACATATCTGAAGAGATGGATTAAGAATGCTTTGGATTAAAGGATTGTGGAGCACATGTCAATCATTTTAGGATTGTCAAAAGGAGGATTGAGGAGGATCAGATCAAAAATGGAGGCAATGGTATGACTCCAAGTGCTATTGTCACAGATTAAATTGGCAGTATTGACCTTATACAGAGAGAGCAGTGAAATAGGCACGCCTGTTCTCTATTGTTCCACTCATTTTCTAGTTAGCTGAAGTTTTCTGACTACCGCCATGACAATTGTGGCTCAGCTGGATCCATGTGGGATGGTGGGGGTGTACTGTGTCAGTTGATTACAGGTGTTGCCCATTTTTATCCTTGTAACATGCAGGTTTTTCAGACATGGAAGTATAATCTCAATACTGCTAAAATCTGCATGTCCTCTGTGTGACTGATAGAGCATTGCTGTTTCATCTTAAATGTAATGGAATGGAAGCAGTGGGGGGGGGGCACACTGGGGATTTCTTTCAGTTTTCCCTCTTCCCCTGCAAGATAAATCAGAACTGAATCTGATAACTTCAGTTAATCTTGTTACTTTTTAGACTGAATAATGAGCTTTTAGTTTTGGCCTTGATAGTTCTAGCAGCAGAATTTGGCAACTTCATAACACTTTTTTTTCAACCACAAAACCTGTAATGCACATATAGTAATTGAAATGTTGAAATTATCAGTTATCCTTTGTAAATATTAGGATGTTTCTTCCAAATGATTAACACTGCTAAAATTTGAGCTTCACAATACAAAAGTTTGTCTTGGGGAACTGATAGTTATCAATGCCTGTTTTTTATTATTCAGTGGCAGACATAACTGATCATTCCCCAGAATCCTATTTTTCATTACGGTATCTAACTTTTTGCCTCCTCTTTTTTGGTTTTGCTGGTTATAAAGGTTTGGATTGGAGAGGGCTCACTGGATCCCAATCCTTGGAGCTGGATCATTGGATTCAAATCATAATGTGGATAGGATAGGGAGGATCAATTTCAAGGATTCATGGAGCGGGATCAGATTACCAGGAACATAGGAGTGGATTCCTGCCCCAACCAAACCGCACTCGTATGGAGTTTTATTCAACTCAATTGGCTATTCCAAAGATTTTTTTTTTCCTATTTTTGACGATTGGAGCCCATCCATAAGATGCACGATGGAGTTTTCATTTTTTTTGTAAAAGGAGCAAAGCAAGGACCTGGAGAGGTACGCTGGAGCATTCTCCTTGGAAGGATTCAGCACAAGTAGATGGTAAATGTTAAAGGGGAAAAAAGGGGGGGTTGTTTATAAATGTTAAACCAATAAGTCATTTACCTAAATTTAACAACGCAAAGAAATTGGAGTCTTTAAGATTAAGTAGGCTTTAAATTGGCTATTGCCTTTTTCTTTTGACAAATAAAATTTTATAAAAAAGTGCATGGTGGTTTTGTTGTATTAAATAATGCCCATATATGTTGTTCTTCTGCTATGATGAATTCACTTAAGTTCCTCTGATTCTTGGCCTGGTAACGGACTGGGCTTCATCTTATACTTTTTGGCCCGTTCATACGCGTTGCAGCACTGGTAGTAGCCTGGGCACAAATAAGCCCTGATGAAAAGGTATGAGAATGAAGATAATAAACATCCTGGAGCTTACAAGGTCAGGCACACAGAAGGAAACCCTTGGCTGCTCCAGCATGAGGCATAGCCAAGGGTTCGTGCAACTTGGTGAGTGCAGAATATGGATGATCAGGTAAGAGCTACAGAATTCTATATCAGATAGGACTGGTTGATAAACAACTGCTTTAGCTTCACATGGATAATCCTTGAGGTATGAACTGCCTGTGGTTAACTTCTGTAATCTTAACATTCTTGCACAGTTTTTAAAGTGTTAACAGTTGGCTCTTGATTAAAAATTAATGGAATTTCCTAAGGGGTTATTGAAAATACTTGGTCAGGGCCCATCCTCTCAGCAAGCCCTGGTTTCCATCTTGGTGCCACATTAGTAAACTCCATCAATGTTTTTATAAAAAAAATCTCTCCAACGATAGCATGGAAATGGTTTTCTATTGCTGCTTTTCTAATACAATCTACAGCCCTGGTTTTCCCAGGCTGCCCAGAGTTAACGGGAATTGGGTGGCATATACATCTAATACAATGGTACCTCAGTACTTACCAGTAATTGGTCTTGGATGCATGATGAGTACCAAATTTTCCCCATAAAAATAATGTGAGTCACAAGGCAGCTGACACCAACGTGCTGCCTTGTCGGTTGAGCACCAAACTGAGTACCGGGACAAAATTTGTGTATCAAAACGCATTTAAGTGCCAAATTTGATGAGTCTCAAAGCAGTTGAGGTACCACAGTAAATTGACTCCTATCAAAGATCTTGGCAACCTGGCTGCACTTCGCTTCCAACATCAGAAAAAGCCATGGTGTAAAATAATCTAGGATTCATTATGCCTCTGGGACAAGGATATTAATCTCAGAGATGCTTCTTAAAGGTATGATAGAATTGATTTTGCACTTGCATAAATCATTTTAGGGTTATATGCTGTATAAGGGATATGCCCTATTTAGGGATATGTTCTATATTAGATATTAAGGCTACCTTTCTGGATCCTTCTCAAAAAGATAAAATAACAGTCCTTACAGAAAAGGTTAAAGCCCACCAACTGTAAAAAGTATTGGGTCAGTTGACAAGCATTTAAGTAGCATTTTTTGGGGAATAACAAGCAGTTGATTCTAACTGCATATGCAGATAGTCCTGGACACCATTTGTTTAGAGACCATTTGAAGCTACAATGGCACTGAAAAAGGTGACAACTAGTCCCCTGACTTAATAACTGCTACAGCATCCTCATGATGAAAATTAAGGAGTTTGGCAACCAGCATGTATTTGCTGACTTCAGGTCATACGATCCCCACATGTAACTTCTCCAAGCAAAGTCAATGGAGGAAGTGGGATTCTCTTAACTGCAGCGATTTGCTTAACCATGGCAGAAATAGTCATAAAATTGGGCCTAGCTGACTAACAACCGCTTTGCTTAGCCTTAGTATAAATTCTGGGCCTAATTGTAAGTCGAGAACTACTTATACCTTACAAAAAGATTGAAGTAAGACTGAAAACATCTCAAAATAGAGATGGAAGCAATAGGATATTTGAAGTGTGTAAAAATATTGACTGAGTCTCTCCTTAGGCAGATCCAAAAGACTAGCAAGACACTAAATTCTTCAGCAGCCCATGATCTATTATTTTCCCTATTAAGTTTTCTGTTTAATGAAGTCTTGAACTTGATGATTGGGTAGGGATCCCTACTCAATCATGAATCCTGCTGGTTATTATGGACTGCTAAGTTTATTCATTCCTCCCAGAACTATTAGAGTTGACAAGAAACACTTCTCATATGTTTATGATGCTATACAGATAGTCCTCATTTAGCAACTACAATTGGGACCGACAACCTGGTCATTAAGTGAAGTCACTAGGTGAAACTGCAACTAATCTTTGGTTTTCCTTTGCTTTACAGACCTGAGATGGTCATAAGTGCGAGGATTGGTTTTTACTTTTTTATCACTGTCATATAACTAAACAGTCGTTAAATGAGACAGTTGCCTTTTTTGGTATAATTAATGTGGCAACTGTTGAATTAGGACAATCTGTACTTGTTCCAGCTGAAGGGATCCTGTCCCCCTTGAGCATGCGCTACATAAAATTTTGATAGCTTCAAATTCCTCACATAAATCAGACTTAAGGACTTAAGATTTAAAGTCTTAAGTTTCCTCACAAAATTTGAAAATAAGCTTTTGAATAACTGCTGCGTCAAAAAGTTGCAGAGCTGTATAATGACATTCTAGTGAAAACAGCTCTTGCTTGTTTACTAAAGGTTTAAGAATCACAATAACGAAATAAGCCCTTAGATGTAGCAGGGGAATGTTGGTAAATCAGACCTGTAATTAGATTGTGATTTGTTCTTGTAAACACCTGGTTCTATAGCTTCAGGCTGAAGGTTTTCAGCCTATATACGCTCTGGGCAAGCACCTAGGCTGACGCTCATAATGATGAAAATGATAGTTGTATATAATTGCCCTGAGGTCACATTACTAAATTTGGTGTTTTTTTTTTTCTTTTTTGGTATATGCACCTGTGCAATGAAAAAATAAGACCTCTGAGGCAAAGTAATCTCTAGACCAGGTGTGCTCTACCTGTGGCCCAAGGGCTTCATGCACTCCTGGATAGCTAGTAATGTGGCCCCACAAGATTGTAAAAAAATAGATTAAAAATGAACTTTGTTGTTTATATACATTGTATTATATATTTGATGTATGGCCCAGGCAAGCCAAAAGGATGGACACCCATACTCTAGACCAGTGGTTCTCAACCTTTTTAATGCCGCGACCCCCAACCGGTTATAGGTCAAGGACTACCCAACCGGTCATAAGTCGAGGACTACCCAACCGATCGTAAGTCGAGGAATTTGCCTGCCTGGGAGCGCCGCACATGCGTGGTGCCGCCCCCTGTGCTGGCCGAGGTGTAGCTGGCAAGCGGCAGAGACGACGCAGGCCAACCACCGGCTGGGCCACCAGCTGGCCCAGCCCAAGGGAGGTAAGGCACCCGCCGGGCCCCACGTGCGCCAGCAACCCTCCCTGCGCCCGCCGGCCTCCCACCCCTGGCCCTCTTACATTTTTAGTAGTTGCTCAGCAGGGAGGGGTGGAAACTTCCAGACACCTCGCCTTCGCTGCAGACAACTTGCAGCACTGTTTGCAGAATGGGACTTTTGGCGGGCTCAGCAGGGCAGAGACAGCCTGGACAGTTCCTATTGGCTTTTGAAAGCCAATAGAATTAGACTCTATTCAAGAGAGTCTATTCTATTGGCTTTCAAAAGCCAATAGAATAAAAGGGAGTAGCACAGCTAAAGAAAAGGGGGGGGGAATGGCGGACTGCGTTGTTTGGCGACCCCTGTGAAATGGTCGTTCAGCCCCAAATGGGGTCCCGACCCACAGGTTGAGAACCACTGCTCTAGACTAACATAGTCTAGAATACGGACCGCTACTGGGGAAGTATATATTTTCATTATATTTTCTTTCAGTCATATATTGAATAAATCAATGGTTTATGAAGCCTTAGAGCAGTGGTTCTCAACCTTTCTAATGCTGTGACCCCATAATACAGTTCCCCATGTTGTGGTGACCCCCAACCACTTATACATCATCGGGTGCCAGGGGCATGGCCAAAGAAAAGGGGAAAAAATGGCGGACAGCCTTGTTTGGCGACCCCCATGAAATGGTCATTCGACCCCCAATGGGGTCCCGACCCACAGGTTGAGAACCACTGCCTTAGAGGCAGCATCGAGAACTCTTAAGCTGTAGTTTTTAATTTAACAGCAGAGGGAAATTATCAAGTAAATCTGCTTTATCGCACAATCACTTGTCAATGAGATGGGCAGCATACAAAGTTACTGAATAAATAGGAATATGGATCTCTATTAAAGTGGGTTAAATGGCCTAGCATGTTTTGCAGGGGAAAGATAATTTTCAGGTGTCAAATGATAAACTAGAAAAACCAAAGACCTGATTTTAGGAAAATCATAGTTTTCCCAGTTCAGGGCTCAATTGTATAATACTCTGCAGTGCTAAAATGGAGGAAGAGGATAGTTGGCAAAAAAAATAATAATTCTGATTTCAAACTTGATCTTGGAGAACAAAATATAAACTTTTAACTTACATGGAACCTGATTAATTTGTTTTTTTTTAAATGTATTAAAAATTGCTATAGGCATTCCTAAAATATATCAGGAAACAGACCAGTGCCTATCTACTTGCCCATTGCTCCTGAGATAACTAGCAAAATGACAAGTTTTCGATAAACAGTAAACTTTTATCTGTGAACCAGGTTAAAATCTAAAGTTTTGCCTTTAGAAAAAAAATGCCCATAACTGTTTCCTTTTGATAACAGTTCCCAGATAACATCCCAGTGGATGGCATGCTTGGGCTCAGATGTACATTACTTTAATGTACACATATCAAAATCAATTGAAAAGTTACTTATTGGTTGCTTTCCAAATGTTTGAGGCATTGGAAAATTATTCGAGTCTGTGACTTAAATTAGAATATTCAAGTCGCTATCCAGACTCTGCCCATGTGTGAGTTATGAAATATAGCATATTTGGGGGGAAATGTTTTTTTGTTTTGTTTTGTTTTGTTTTTTAAAAAGGATATGTGATGCTGGCTTCTCAGGTGATGGGGCTTTGTCCCTTCTTTCAACTATTTGTAAATAGTCCGTATTCTGGCATTTTACTCAGTGCTTCAGCCTTGTATCAACAGTGAATAGCACTATTATCTTTATGAAGAAACTCTTGTTAATGTCACATGTGCATTTTTTAGAGTGGGCATGGCTTTTCATGCTTCAGAAATGGACTAGCAAATCTGGTCTCTTTCCACAGGGTGGCCACTGAAGGACCATTGTCAAGAGAATCTGACTGTTTCCTCCACATGAGCCTTTCAGCCCTTATCACATGGTAGCTACATGGAATAACACTTCTCTAGCTGCTTCTCCCTTCTCATCCAGCCACTAGAACAGAAACAGCAAAAAAAAAGTCCTGATTTTTTTTAAAAAAGAAATTTGGTAGAAAAGCAAGCATGCAAATTCAGACTTGCTTAAAGTGGGAAATTTTCCAGCCCATATCTTGCTTGCTAGTAAACATTTCCATGTATTCTCTTTTTCAAATCACTTGCAGCATAATGTGAAGTGAGAGAAAAGGGAATGGTGGGCAAATCATGATAGTATATGAGCTATGGCAAATATTTCCCAGATTCTGCTTCACGTATTGTAGAAAGTGCTTCCTGTGGTTTATTTCTGTAATCCTCTGGATTGCCTTAGATCAGTGGTTCTCAACCTGTGGGTCGGGACCCCATTTGGGGTCAAACGACCATTTCACGGGGGTCACCAAACAACGCAGTCCGCCATTTTTTTCCCCCTTTTCCTTAGTTGTGGTACTCCCTTTTATTCTATTGGCTTTTGAAAGCCAATAGAATAGACTCTCTTGAATAGTCTAATTCTGTTGGCTTTCAAAAGCCAATAGGAATTGTCCAGGCTGTCTCTGCCCTGCTGAGCCCGCCAAAAGTCCCATTCTGCAAACGGTGCTGCACCAATTGAGTACTCCTCGACTTACGACCGGTTGAGTAGTCCTTGACTTAACGACCGGTTGGGGGTCGCGGCATTAAAAAGGTTGAGGACCACTGCCTTAGATCCTCAAATGTTTCTGTCTTGCCTTGTTTATTGGAGATTTCCTGATACCGGTCTTTCCAATGCTCCTTTATCTTGCTTGTCAAAGATCTGAAGGATCGGTTACCCTCGGTCTTTGGGATTGTGGAGCATTACCTGAATCAGTCCTGAATTGTACAAACTGGATGTTGGAAATTTTTTAGTGGAAATAGTTTTCTCTTGTCGCATTACAAATGCATTTATCAAAATGTCTGGAAGAAAATTGACTAAACCAGTGGTTCTCAACCTTTTTAATGCCGCGACCCCCAACCGGTCGTAAGTCGAGGACTACTCAACTGGTGCAGCACCGTTTGCAGAATAGGACTTTTGGCGGGCTTAGCAGGGCAAAGACAGCCTGGACAATTCCTATTGGCTTTTGAAAGCCAATAGAATTAGACTCTATTCAAGAGAATCTATTCTATTGGCTTTCAAAAGCCAATAGAATAAAAGGGAGTAGCACAGCTAAGGAAAAGGGGGAAAAATGGTGGACCCCCGTGAAATGGTCGTACAACCCCAAACGGGGTCCCGACCCACAGGTTGAGAACCACTGGACTAAACAGTCCAGCTAAAGTACTTGGCAAGAATTTTACAGAATATATGTGTTCATCTGACAAGACGTAACCCTAGCCTCTGTGGAGTCTCATGAGATTTTTTGAGATAAAAATGGAAGCCAACTGAGCTGGTGAAGTTTGAAAGGGCAAATTACGATAATCTTGCCAAAAAGATGTTTTTAATAGTCTTGGGGAAATCAGAATTCAACAATGGGTTGTGATTCCCACAATGTGAAATAGATAGGCAATTTAGGCTTACATGGACTTCTAGATGTCTATTGTTAATCTGCTTAACGTGCTGTTTTTTCCCTCCCCTTCCTCCATGTTACCGTTCAGAAAACTTTGAAAATAACCAGGAAAACCAGGAAGTGAAAGCTGAGCTCCCTGGCTGCTCTTAGGTTGCATATCATTCCTGTTAACTGATGACTGGGTGCATGGAGACGTGGACCTCTGCTAGTGGATGATTTGCACATGGAGCCAGGAGAGGATTCCAAAAGACAAACCGTCCGCCTTTACATTCCCTTGCAGAACGGTTCACCCGTGCAGAGGAGGAGGAGTCCAGTTTTTATTGGTGGGAAACATTAGGGTGATATTTCTGCAACAACACTGCCATCGTGTTTTCAAGAACCCACCTCCTCCCAAGAGTTGGTTATGTAGCATTGCCGTAGTTAAAGGATTATAACTCTTGACCTTTGCTGGACAAAAGATGGGGTTGGGGGCCATGTTAATGAATATCTTAAAATGCAGCCGCTCTCAACATCTGTAGAGAAAGGCCTGACATTATTGTGGTTGATAGTTTGTTTTGTGGGTCAGCCTAGGATGATCTACGGGCCAGGTGCCTATCAACTTAAGCTCTAAATACATTGGTACCATAATGGGTCTAGAAAGCTGTGCACATCTGTACTGATAGCATCTAGCAACTGTTCAAACCATTAACCTGATGTGCAGCTCTGGTCAACATCTGGAGAGCATTAAATTTCAGTGGAACGAGGGAGGTATGTGCCAGTGGACAAGCTCTGCTGGAATCCATCAGCCTTCATCATCCATTTAAGGTAAAGTCTGTTTTTAGTTTGACTTCTAGGGACTTAACAGACTTGTCCGTGTTTTGGCTTTTAAAATCTAGCCTATAGGCTTCACACTATTTCCATCCCAAGTGTGAAGGAGGCCTGAGCCTGCTTAGCTTCTGAGCCAGTAAAAAGCCCAGACATGGGATGCCTTCTAATTTAAAAAAGAAAACTTGGGAATGCAGTGAAGCATTAGCTTCTAGAATAATTCTTATTGAACCAAGTGCTAAAGAGTGTCACACATAAACAGTTCATAGGAATTGATGGCTGGCTGTAATTCAGCGCTTGGAAGTGAATCCAACTGCAAAAAAAGGATCACAGTGAGCTAAGTTGGTAGAGAAAATGCTAGGACCAGGGAAAAAAGAGAGAGAAGTCCTCCAGTTTGCTTTTGGTGAATTGTTTTAAGGCTTGAATCAGAGGATTCTTTTTTGTATATAAACATGCCTTTCAATAATTTCTGTAGAAGTCCAAGGACAGATTCTTGAAATTCCAGATTTGCCCAGAAATTTGCCTGTCTCCGCTTGTGAGAATTTTCCACTCCTCCCTTGACTTCTATCGTTCTCACCTGTTCTCAAGAAAATTGGAAAATATGGTACACCATAACTACTAAGGCTCTGTACATGATGGAATCCCATTGGATCTACAGCAAATGGATGAAGTTGGGGCTCCAGACGCCAAGTGCAGACTAGTTCCAATGGCTTATTTCCATTAACAGTGAATGGACTGGTTTATGTTCTGTGTAGATCAAGGCCCAAGTACATAATGGCTTTTAAATTATATATGTTTTTAAAATATTTTAATATAAAAGGTCAGGATGGTGCCCCCAATCTTCTTACAAGGAACACCGCCGCCTTTTTAGGAACCTAATTTCACTCTTTTTATTTTCCTTTTTGGGATATAACCTGGGCCCATCTCTAGAAAAGTATAACTAAAGATGAACCATTTTCTGACTGGTCAGGTCACTGTCATTGTTTTTCCTTTTTGAAGTCTAGCCTCCAGCTTGAGCAATGCCTTTGAAAAGTCTTCTCACCTGTTGTATTTTTTTCCTTAACGTTCGGATTTAAGAACAACTGAAAAGCAGAAGTGCAGAAACAGGAAAATATGGAAAGAGATGTAATTTTGGCTGTGAGGTAGGGATGCAACCCTGTATAGTTAAGATACAGAAAAGATCCAGTTTTTTACAACCTTATTGGGCTGACTTTAACAGTTTCTGAATTTTAGCAGTTCTTTTAGTTGATTGGAGACTAGAGTAGAATAATTGCCTGTGTAAAGGCCTTCTCAAAAAAATACCATTTGAAGGAAGTTTGACTGGATCCTCTGTACTGTATTAAAGTTTAAGCTTGATATTTGTCTTAAGCTTTATTCTGCCTGCAACTTTAATTTAGACCTAGAGAAGTAATCTGTTTCCTTTTCTCAGTTCTGACATCCTCACTTAAACATTTTACTTTAATTACTGACAAGTCTCTGTATACCTGTTTGAGCCAAGGAATTTGACAGCAGTTGGAGATCTGGAAAACCGAGCAAATACAGGACTGCCTGCCCATAAAATTGAGAGCAGTATATCTCGTTTGATTTATTGGAATTGAATCAGAATCAGCTGAAAGGGACTTGGGAGGTCTTTTAATCTTCTAGAATTAGAATTAGACAATATCAGTTCCTCTATTGCAGTGCTTCTCAACATTTGTGTGACGGTGACCCCTGTCACACAAATGTTCTGTGCATGCGCGGCGCCGCGCGCATGGGGGCGGGCCATGCGCACGTGCGCGGCGGTGCCCCCATGCGCAGCGTGCGCGGCGGCACCCCCATGTGCGGCACGCGTGCACGGCGCCGCGAAAAATGGCGGATCGCCACCTTTGGCGGCCCCCGAAAAATGGTCGATCGACCCCAAATGGGGTCGCGACCCATAGGTTGAGAACCGCTGCTCTATTGTCTTTAACCTGCCAGTCTATAAATTAAATTGCAGAATGGGACAGTTAATGACCACAAACATGTTACAGTGCAAATATTTCTCTAAAAGGCCTCACAGGTGTCAACAATAAAGAATAGTTTCATTTAGAATCATTGTGCCTGATTTGTGCTAGTTTTTTTTTTTTTTTAAATTTCCAGGGGTGTTTTAGATACCAAATCTCTAGTACAGAAGCATGACATTTCAAAATTGCTTTAGCAGATGATTCTGTTGCTGCTTTTAACCAGCATGAGTTTGTAACATCCGAGGAACGCACATTTTTGCATCTCTCGGGTGACTTTCAAAATCAGGGCAAGAGATTATTTTAAACCTCCACAAATTCAAAAGAACGGATTCACAAAAATAACGTTTGCAACCCAGTTCTCAAGCCTGGAAATCAGCTCTACTGTTGCCCCTAAGTATACTGTATCTTTAGCGATTTTGATTGTAGGCCTCTTGGCTGAAATGCATAAATAAAATTGCTGTTTGCATAAGTGCATCTGAACTTATTCCATCCTTGCCTTTTGTGTGTTTCTTTTCCATCTGTAATCACAGTAATTTTCAGGCAATTCATAGAAATGACGCTATGAATGAATCATAATAACTTCTTCAGAACTGAGTTTGTGAATTTTAACTAGAGTGACTGTGCCGGCAGGAAGCCAATTCCCAACATGGGTTTTGAGAGTTCCCTATTGGGGTGCTCAACCTGGGCAGCTTTAAGACCTGTGGACTTCAACTCCCAGAATTCCCCACCCAGCATGGTCTTAAAGTAGCCAAGGTTGGACACCCCCTATCTTAGGATCTTTTTTCCTCATCTGTCCATTTATACTGTTATGGCAGGGGTCTTCAAAGTTGGTCCTTTGATGACTTGTGGACTTCAACTCCCAGAATTCCTCAGCCAGCATGGCTGGCTGAGGAATTCTGGGAGTTAAAGTCCACAAGTCATCAAAGGACCAGCTTTGAAGACCCCTGTATTAAGGAATGGGAGATTGACGTGTATGGGTTTAGCAACATAAATCATGCAGTTGAATTAGCCCTGATTCGTGAGTGAACAGCTAGTGGAAGACACAGAAAGAAATGGAGACTTTCCCGGCTATCTTTCATAGATGAATCTAAACATCTCTAGGGGGTTTAGAATGGAATTGGCTGCAGCAGTGGGGCACACTGGATCTAGTTTTAGAAGATGCTGTTTCAGTGCAGACCTAGTTCTTCTAACTCTGCTGGTATCTTTGTTGCTCAGAAATGAACCCTAGGAGTTGCGGGATATCTCATCAGCTGCTCCCTGGTCAATTAAATGGATGCTAGCACTGAGCTGCAGGTCTGCTGACCCTGAATTATTACAATCCTGTTTGAAGGTGCTCCAAGCAGACTCCAGCAGTCCACTGTGGGCGCACAACACAGCCTATTTATCAAGATAAATCTATTTTCTGAACTTGGGTAGTAGGTTCACCTGAGACAGGCCTGAGATGCTAAACCTCCAAAGGGGGGTGGTGGTTAAGGCTAACCAAGTACATTTTTCGCAAATCCAGCTGAGAATAATGTTTAGGCAGAAAGACTGAAAATGATGTTTAGGTGAGTCGATGTAGCATAACTATTTAAGATGTTGCCCTACAAGTGGGAGATCCAAATTCCAATCCCTCCTTGAGTTCCCAGAGGAAAGGTAGGATATAAACCTTAAATTTTAATGGCCTGTTGTGCCAGTTGAATACTACCTGGTATTTATTGATGATTATTCTTTCCCTCTGGAAAACTAGGAAGTCCACCCTTAAGGGTAAGAATTCTTAAATAAGTAACTAGGTGGGAGGATGGAGTATTGCTCAGTAACTAAAAGCTGCTTGAAGAAAGGCCCAGCGCTCAATTCCTGATACTGCCTGGTAGCACAATTAGCAGGATACGTCAGAGCTAATGGGAAGCCTGTGAAATGGCTGTCAGCCAGAACAAACAATACTGGGCTAAATGTATTAAGTTATAAAATGATAAATTTGTTGCATTAAGCCATAACTGATTGGGGGTCGCACACCAAAGACATAAACCAGATGCAATTTGGGAGGAATGGCATATAAGCTTACCAGATACAAGTGGGGTCAACATTTTCTATTTATTTTGGGTCCAATTGGGGAGAGGGCTTATGGAGCCAAAGGAATTTCAAGTAAGCTTATCTGTTAAAAATAGTCCAAATATAGGAAAGGGACCTAGTTTGTGGAAGCTTAATTGAGGCAAATCAAGGAAAGAATACACCTGAAGGGCTGCTGTGAAGGATTCTCATGATTTGGCAGATAAAACTCAGATCAGAGTTGAACCGTAGTAGACGCTGGTCAGTGCCAAAGTACAGTAATCTGGGATCAGTTTTGAGTGCATGTTCTGGCAAATAGGACTCTCTAGTACAGGGCTTTTCAACCTTTTCACCCATTGTACCATTTTTAGGATATGGCAACATCCGAATACCACCAGTCGCCTAGCACAGTGTCAAAAACTTGATGACCAAAAAAAAAAAAAAAAAAAGTGATAAAGTACAGGTAGTCCTCAACTTACAACAGTTTACTTAGTGACTGTTCGAAGTTACAATGGCACTGAAAAAAGTGCCCCCCCAAGCCACAGCCGAGCAAGACGCCTGCCCACCTGGCGATGCTCTTCCTCCTGTCCGAGGTTTTCATTATTGTGAGCATTTCTGTTGAGGATTGGCAGCGGGGGTGGGGTGGGGGTGTTTGGTTTTTATTCCCCCCCCCATCTGCTGGGTGGTTGCAGCAGGCTTTGGTCACTTCACATGACCCTGGGACACTGTGACCGTCATAAATATGAATCAGTTGCCAAGCATCTGAATGTAAATCACAAGACCCTGGAGATGCTGCAACATTCCAGCTGATCGGCGCTTCTTCTGGGCTCAGCAGAAGTGCCAGGATCAGTGCTGCTTTCCAGCTGATTGGTGCTTCTTCAGGGCTCAGCAGAAGCACCAGGATCAGCGCCAAGCTCCAGCTGGAAAGCGGCACTGATCCTGGCGCTTCCACTGAGCCCTGCAGCTCCAGCCATCTCATTCATGCTTGTGCAGTGCTGCCACTGATTCAGCTCTTTCCCCTCCCCCACTACCACTTTTCTAAGATAGTCGCGTACCACCTGCCAGGTGCCAATGTACCACAGGTGGTACCCGTACCATTGGTTGAAAAGCCCTGCTCTAGTATCAGTTCTTCCACTTCTCTGCTGAGTTCCTGG